GATAAAGATCATGATAAAGAAAATTGATCTTGAAGAGATGGAGTTTCTCTCTCTAATCTCTTGAAACTTTCTGTACTTTCTGATTAAGGAAAATGTACGAGGTGTGTTAGGAAGAGAGATGACATATTCTCTAAATCATGCTCTATTTAATCACTATTCATCAAGGGGGTTACAAACCAATAAGATTTATGATAATTTAATAAATTAATTGATTTTTTATTATTAAAATCAATGACATAAGTTAGTAATTCTTATTCATTTAAAGGATTACATGAGTTATAAAATTAATATTGTAAGTTATCATAAGTTATGAGTTAAGATAATTAATAACTTAAGTCATCATAAGTTAAAAAAATAAATATCAGAAGTTATGATAAATTATGACATAAGTTATGAGCTAAGAAAATTAATAACTTAAGTTATCAAAATAAATATCATAAATTCTCATAAGTTATGATATAAGTTATGAGTTAAGAAAATAAATAACTTAAGTTATCAAAATAAATATCATAAGTTGTCATAATTATTACATAAGTTATGAGTTAAATAAATAACTTAAATTATCAAAATAAATCTCATAAGTTATTAAAATAAATGTGAGCTATAAATAAAAAATATAACATTCTTCCACTTGGCTCACTTAATTTTAATAGTACATAACATACTGCACAAAATGCAAGATAAATCCTTCTTTATATTAGTTAAATCATAAATTATTTAATTAGTATGAAATTAATATGAATCATGACGGTTGTGCATCAATTTATCGACACAGTCCCTTCCATGTATCACAATATCAATTATATACTTAGCATAATGAGAATTAACATCATGGTCTCATAATGTTTATTAAAAGACAAATCTTGTTGAACATTATGCAACATAAAGTGTATACTAACGATAAAAATAAGCTTTATAAATGTCATAAATAAGAAAAATTGAGCTCAAAGTATCAAAGTACAAAGAGCATAAAATTAATAAAGGGTTTTGGTAATGTCCATTCTCATGACATGTTCATTAAATGTCTTCGGTGGCAACCCTTTCGTCAAAGGAACTGCAATCATGAGATTAATGCTAATATGCTCAATTGACACCATATGTTTCTGAACTTCTTCCTTAACTGCAAGGTATTTTAATTCCATGTGTTTAACACATTTAGAATACTTGTCGTTCTTGGAAAAGAAGACTGCTGCGGAGTTATCATAATAAATTTTCAGCGGCTTGACAATACTGTCGATAATTTCAAGTCCTGAAATAAAATTCCACAACCATAAATCTTGAATTGTAGCTTCAAAGAAAGCTACTAATTCAGCTTTAATAGTGGAAGCAGCTATGATAGTCTGTTTCGCACTTTTCCATGAGATTGCTCCTTCAGCCAAAACGAACTGATAGTCAAATGTTGATTTTCTGGTATCAACACATTCAACAAAATATGAATCTGAATATTCTATCACTTCAAGATCTTTAGATCTTATATAAGTGAACATGTGGTCTTTTGTTCTTGTAGATACCTCAAAACTTTCTGTGCAGTTTTCCAATGATCTACTCCTGGATTAATTTGATACATGCCCAACATCCCGACAACAAAATTAATGTATGTTCTGGTACAAGTCTGAGCATACATTAAGCTTCCAACAATAGATGCATAAGAAATTTTTTCCATTTGTTTACATTCCAAATCATTCTTTGGACACCATAAGGCTTAATTTATCTCCTTTTTGAATTGGAGCAGCACTTGTTGAGCACCTTTTGAAATTGAATCTATTAAGAACTCTTTTGATATATGTTTTCTAAGGTAGCCTTAACAAACCTTGTGATCTATCACAAAATATTTCAATTCCAATCACATAGGATGTCTCACTCATATCTTTCATTTCAAAAATCTTAGAGAGAATGTTTTTGGTTTCATATAATAAGCTAAATCTTTAGTAGCTAACAAGATGTCATCGACTTACAGAAAGAGAAATATGATTTTGCTCTCACTGATCTTTAGATATATACACTGATCAACAGTGTTTTCTTTAAAACCAAAGGGCGTGATGGTATCATTGAACTTAAGATACATTGTCAGGAAGCTTGCTTAAGTCCGCATATTGATTTCTTAAGTTCACACACCATGTGTTCCTTTCCTTCAACAAAAAATTCTTCAGGTTGACTCATGTAGACCTCTTCATCTAAATTCTCATTCTGAAAGGCAGTTTTCACATCCATTTGGTGTAACTTCAAATCATAATGAGCTACTAGTGTCATGATAATTTTAAATGAATCTATCTTAGAAACTGGAGAAAATATTTCTTTATAATTGATGTCATCTTTCTGAGTGAAACCTTCGTTCAATATTGTCATTCGAGTCGCGCTTAGTCTTAAAGACTCATTTACACCCGACTCTTTTACAACCTTCAGACATTTCAACGATATCTCAGACTTTGTTATGATCCATCAATTTCAACTCATCTTTCATTGCATTTAACCATTTAGAAGAATTTACACTTTTTATGGCTTGTAAAAATGAAACTGGATCTTCATTAACTCTTAAGTCAAATTCGGATTCATGAAGAAAAACCACATAATCATTAGAAATAACAGACTGTTTTTGTCGTTGAGACTTTTTAAGTACTACTTCATGTGGTTTATCTAATATAGATTCATTAGTTACAGTTTCATTGTGGAGTATTTGATCATATATATGTTGTTCTTGTAAGTTGTTAAACTGTTCAACAACTATAGGAATAACAATTTGAGAAGAAATTTTGGGTAAAGGAACTTGAACCCTAATTTCTTGGATCTCCACTTTATGTGGTTCTAAACTCCCACTAACTTCACCATTTTCAATGAACTTGACATTTCCAGCTTCAATAATTCTTGTAATGTGCTTAGGACAATAAAATTTATACCCTTTAGATTTTTCTGGATAACCAATGAAGAAACCACTGGTTGTTCTTGAGTCCAGTTTCTTTTCATGTGGATTATATAACCTTATTTTTGCTGGGCAACCCCAAACACGCAGATGCCTTAAGCTTGGTTTCCTTCCTATTCACAGTTGAAAAGCAGTCTTTGGAACTGCATTACTAGGAATTCTGTTTAATAAATATGCAGCGGTCTTTAAAACATGCATCCGCAATGATGAAGGTAAAAAAGAATTACTCATCACACTTCTAACCATTTTCATTAGAGTACGATTTCTCATTTCTGCAACACTATTTTGTTGTGGTGTTCCTGACATAATGTATTGAGCACATATGCCATTAGTTTAAAGGAATTTAGCAAATGAACCTGGACATTGTTCAGATTCATTGTAAGTTCTATAATATTCACCGTCTCTATCAGACCTGATAATTTTTACTTTTCTGTTTAATTGTATCTCAACCTTAGTTATATTCACCCTCAAGACATCTATAACTTGAGATTTTTGATGTAATAAGTAGACATACCCATGACGTGAAAAATTATCAATAAAGGTGATAAAATATTTCTCTCCACCAAAAGATGGAACATCAAAAGGTCCACAAATATCAGTGTGTACAATGTTAAAAAGCTGTGTGCTTCTTGTGGCGACTTTCTTAAGTGTGTGATTTGCGGGTTTTTTGCGTGTTTTACTTTAATACAATTCTCACAGATGTCAAGATCAGTAAAATCCAATTCATTAAGGATTTCATTCTTTACTAATCTTTTAATTCTTTCTTTGGATATATGATCCAAACGTCCACAAATAAGCTAAACTTTCATTCATAAAACCACGTTTAATACCAATATTATGATGCAAAGTCATCAAAGTGTCAAAGAAAATGTTATCAAGTTTAAGCTTGTATAGGCCATCACAAAGAATACCAGAACTTATGAGGTGATTGTGTTTAAACAAACTGAAACAACTATTTCCAAATTTAAAGGAGTATCCAACATAATCAAGTTTAGACAATGAAATCAAATTACGAGAAACAGAAAGGACATAAAGTGTTTGAAAAATGTCTAAATGATGTCCAGTATCTAAAATCAATCGATAGGTTCCAATAGCTTAAACTGGCGCTTTGACTCAGTTTCCCATGAAGACAAACTTTTCATTTGAGTTCATAATTTGGGTTGTAAGGAATTCATGCATCGTATTAGAAACATGAGTGATACAACCAGAATCAATCCACCAGGTATTATAAGGAACTTTTGTCATATTTGATTTGAAACATACAGAAACACAAAGTTTATCTTTCTTTTCGAACCAGTTCTTACGCTTTTGACACTCATTTTTATAGTGTCCAGACTTTCTGCAAAAGTGACTCTTAATTTCTTTATATTCCTCTTTCTGAATTGGGGTAGATGACACATTAATCTTTAATGGTCCTTGCTTACTATTTCCATTCTTCTTTTCAGGTTTCTTTACAGCTCTTCTTTGACGACCCATGAAATTAATGGAGTGATCTGTTCTTTTCTTAAGTCTTGCTTCATCTTGAATGAGCATACATTGTAGTTCATTCACATTCCACTTATCTTTCATAGTGTTGTTATTCATGTGAAATGGATCATACTCAGGAGGCTAGGAGTTAATGATAATATGCACAAGGAAATTTTCATTCACTTCCATTCTCAGGGTCTTAAGTTTTGTTGCTATGTTCGTCATTTCAACGACATGCTCATGCATGGTATGAGAACCATTAAATTTCATGTTGTTAACGCACTCAATAGTGTCCCAGCAAGAGACTTATCGGCAAAATCAGACTGAGAACAATTCTCAGCAAATTTCATAAATTTCTTAGCACTTTCATTGTTAGAAAATGTACACTTTATGTTGTTTGCTACAGTCATTCACATAAACATTAAGCTTAATCTGTTTGATTTTTCCCGAACTTTATAGAAAGATGTTTGTTTAGCACTGCTAGAATCAGTAAGAGCAGTAGGAGGTTTCTCAGTCGTGAGTGCTAAATCAAGATCCAGAACACCAAGGTGAAACTTGACTTGCTCACGTCATTCAGAGAAATTAAGTCTATTAAAAGTTTGAATAGATGTAGCTTGCAAATGAAGAGAAACATGAGTAGTTACTGCAAATAAATAAAACATGTTTGTACATTAATGCTTCGAACATTAAGCTTACATAGATATTCATATAAAATCAGATTTAAATAATAATAGTGTATTGAAATCTTATTTGGGTGATATAATAATACACGATAATAAATGTAATTGATGTTTGACTTAAATTTAATATAATTGGTAATTGTTTATACTCAAGTGAGACATGTCTATTATCTTTGGATATATAAACATATTTTAACTAAGTATATAAATATACTACAATTATATTCATAGATTATAAAACAAATGATCAAACTTTGGCGATCTAAAAAATATTTTATAATCAATAAATTTTAATATTTTTATAATGAAATGTTAAATTATTTCATAACAAGCATCACATACTCGTGAGTAATTGAATTTATGTAATTTAACGTCTATTAAACTTATTAATTTGGTTACTTTGGTGACGAACAAATTAAACATAACATAGACATTAAATAAATAATAATTTCAATCACGTCAATTTACTTTACTTTTATTGATCTAATTCAAGATCTAATTCACAGCAGAAATTTATTACAATTAGTATAAATAAAATTATATGAAAAATCATAAATTTAGTAATTAAGGCTCTGATACCACATGTTAGAAATTCATGTTTGAAATTCATGACACAAATTCCAAAAATACATAATAGCCAAAATCTTTTAAATTCATGATTTGAACATATCTAAAATAAAGTAACGCATACCTGTATTCATGATGAAGAAATTTGATCTTGAAGAAATTTAATCTTGAATAGATGAAGTTTCTCTCTCTAATCCCTTGAAATTTTCTGTACTTTATGATGGAGGGAAACGTACGGGATGTGTTAGGAAGAGAGATGATCCATTCTCTAAATCATGATCATCCATCAGTGGGATTATAACTAATAGGATTTATGATAATTTCATAAATTAATTTATTTTTTAGTATTAAAATCAACGACATAAGTTAATAACACCTATTTATTTTAGGGATTACATAAGTTACAAATTTAATATCATAAGTTATCATAAGTTATGACATAAATAATGAGTTAAGATAATTAATAATTTAAGTTATCATGAGTTACAAAAAATAAATATCATAAGTTATCATAAATTATGACATAAGTTATGAGTTAAGAAAATTAATAATTTAAGTTATCAAAATAAATATCATAAGTTGTCATAATTTATTACATAAGTTATGAGTTAAATTAATAACTTAAATTATCAAAAATAAATCTCATAAGTTATTAAAATAAATGTGAGTCATAAATAAAAAATATAACATCTTAAATGTCTTTACGTGCTTTCCACATCATGGCCTACCATTAACTTTTGGTAAACAAGCTGCTTGATTGTGCACTTTCAACTTTGCAATATGCAGCATCAAGTTCATTTAATAGAATTCAATGATTATTTACTAAAATAGAAATATTTAAATATTAATTTTCTAAATTGAATTCTGACTGTTTTAATTTTTTAGTGATGTGTTTTTGGCTTGCATGAAAATAAAGCTAAAAGGAAAATGTGATGTACTTGTAGAAAATGCACAATGTTGCAGCTCACAAAGTTGGTTTTGACATTAACTAAACTCAAGTATTATTTGATAAAATGATTTTCCTGCTGAGGTCCTTACCCTTGTAAAAAAGGTTTGTCTAGGATGAGGATACTTTGATTAGTTTATGCTTAAATCAGTTGATGTTCTGTTGAGCATAGCTTTGCTAGCTTGTGAATGCTAGATTGCTCTGCCATTTTGAATCGGTATTTGGGGTATCATGTGGAGGAGAATAAAAAAAAAGTGCATTTCCTATTTGATTTTTTCATATAGATGTAATATTAACAATGAGCATCATGTTTTCTGTCACGTATCCAGTTTCTTAGGGGTTTTTTTTCGTATGATGTGTAGGTTGGATCTTGGTGATGGAAAAAATGTAGACCTCAAGGAATGCCCAAGGGCATTGCTTCGACAACAATGCATAAAATATTTGGGCCCTGTAAGTTCTGCAACTAAACTCCCAACTATAAGAACTTTTATATAACTTCTTATATCTTCAAGTTGATGTGAAGAACTGATATCCTAGAGCTTTCACTTAAATTTTTAATTTTCTGAAATGGTGTAGCAAAATAATATGGATTATAAATGTGAATGGTGAGGTTCTGTTCTGTGGATAGCGAATGCAGCTTTATAATTTGCTTTTCAGAAAAAAAACATTTTGTTTTCTTTTAGGCTAATCTAATTTAAATATGATTTTAATTAAAAAAACTATATCTGAAATTTTAATCTTAGCTTTACTGCCAATGCTAATTGTTGAAATCTGAGAAGATCTTGGACGATTTGATTGGGACAACATAGGAAACTCTTGATTAGTTTATTTCTTTCTATTCTATATTATTTTATTTTTATTTCGAAGTTATTTTCTTTTCTAATTTAAGTTGGATATATTTGATAAGTTTGTAAATTAAGAGGGATTGTTTTCCCTGTATTTGTGTCATACATTTAGATCATATGGATCACGAGAAATATTCCTCTCCAAAATCTGTTTTCTATATGGTATTAGAGATATTTGCCTTAACCTAGATCCCTCAGTGCCTCGGGACCTCCTTCTTGCTGCAGGAAAGTCGTCTGTACCTCTTGTAGAGCTAGAAAATCCCTTCAGCCATGTTGAGAAAATTAGGGCGAAGAAAAACAGTAACGACACAAATCCAAAAGAACACAGAGATTTAGAACCAGATTCTCTCTTGCCATAACAGGAATCTCCTATGCAAGCCAGAACCGGATTCTCTCTTGCCATAACAGGAATCTCCTATGCAAAGAGCTAGACCACCTTCCTGCAAACAACCGAAATCTACTCTTCCCTGCAGGCAAGCTGAAATCTCCTCTTCCTATGCCGGATTTCTCCCTACAGGCCCCTCTTGCTGTTGAAAATATCTCCCTGCAGGTAGCAGGCCCTTCGTCAGCCAACTGAACTTTTTGGCCCCCAAGATTCTCTTCTTGATTGCAGCCACTCTTCTCTGCAACCGGTACTCTTCCTACAGGTTGCATGCCCTCTTCGGAATCCTCCCAACAGCTGGACTGTTCAGTTCAGTTTAGGTTTTGCAGCGGACATCTCATAACAACAAGGACAACAAACATAGCAGTAGCTGTTGGAATCTTCCCTACAGCAGCTAGAATCCTTTCTGTAGTCACCTCTTCCTGCGGGCCCTTTGCCGGAGCTTCTTATTGTAGCTCTCAGCTTTGGAATTCTCCCTACAGGCCCCAAAACTCACTGTGAGCCCTCCTGATTCCTGTTTCCTTTCTGTTGTTTTCCCCAGTAGGGTCGTAGCAGTGGATCTTTCTTCTCTCTCTCCTTGTCGTACGTCTCCTTGTAGCCAAAGCAACCCCAGGTATGCAGCCTGTGCAAGCAGACCTCTGGTTTTCCAGGCTTTCCTCCACCCTTGAAGCAAGATGCAGCCAAGTATCCTACAGCCTGCAACAGCTCGGAATTCTTGCGGCCCTAAACATGAATTGGGTTTACTTCAAGTACAAAATGAAGACGTCTAGTTCTATTCCGAAGTCTATCTTCTTGATGATACACCAATATACCATATCTTCCTATCTTATTAATAGTGGAGGATTTCGACTTGAATAATAGATTAGAGTGTTTCTAATCACATGATGGGGATATTCATGCTCTCATCAACTACTAAGAGAAATTGGTTAGATTTGCCGATGGATCTCACTCTAGGCTTGTTGGGGAAAGGAAATGTGAAAATCTTCAAAAATTTTCAGCTTTTTTCAGAGCTATAAGTTCCCCAACTAGATTACAACTAACTTTATATCAACAATCTCCTTGATGACCTGTGTTGTGTTATTAATTTCATTCCAACTTGTGAATTTCAGGTGGTGGATTTGGGGAAGGTGATTGATAGGGTTTGTACTCAGGGAAAGTTTCTCTCTAAACACACAAATTGTCTCACCTCTATTTTATGTTGACTCCATGTCTCTTGAAAATCAGGTTTTGTTATGTCATTGTTGTTTCTCATCCTCCCAATTTCAATTATCTTGTTGTATTCTCATTTATTTATTACTAAAAAAAATTAGTTTATGTCTATATAACATTTGACAATTCACTAAACACACTAAAAATAACTATTTATTGGGTTGTGTGGAACGATGCAACAAACAAAACATCCGGTGCATATGCGCCGGGTTGTGGACGCATATGCGCTCACACTTGGGCTTGCTCCAGAGGAGTCAGAGCCTATGCACCAACTATGGACACATATGCTCCCATATAGATGCAGACGCAGTTATGTTGGTGCCTAGACGCCAAGTATTTAGCGCCTATGCGCCCAATTTAGGCTAAGCTTCTCGAAAGCTTGATGCTTAGGCGCCAAGTTTGGGTGCCTAAGCGCCATGGGAGGTTTGCAGGTGGAATTTGGTTTAATCCCTAATCGGAGCGACGAAAACTGAAGATTTGTCATTTCTTCCTTCGAAATTCTTCAACGAACATCCGGTGAAGGTGAGGCGTATCGAAGAGGTGGATTTCAGTGATTTAGCTTGATTTTTTGCGTCGGAACAGATAGGAAAGATTATGGAGCGAGTCCTGTACGTTTTCTTTGTGTGTGGAGAGAAAACTTGTGAGTTCTTTGCAAAATATTCTGAATTTCAGTGAAAATTTCTGTTAGTGTGGCTTCGTGGTTTTTTCTCGTTCTCTGGCTTTTCCACATAAATTCTCGTGTATTTTTTCTATTTGCTTTGGTTGTGCTTCTGTTTCAAATTTTAGTCCGATTTTTTATCGAATTGGTGTGATTTCGTTATTTCGCGGTATGGTATAAAATCTAATTGATTCTAAGCCCCGGTAAAGTTGGAGATTTCCTGTCACTATCTTCTGACCCAATACAAACTCTCATACATTTTTGTCATTATCCAAAGTGATATTTGAGGATCTTAAAAGGTGAAAAATCTATATGGAGCTAGATGATATATCTCATTTATTGACGATCATACTAGAATCACTTGGCTAGCCTTAATGAAAGAAAAATCTAAAATAACCCAAATCTTTCAAATTTTTCATAACATGATTCAAACTTAATTTCAATGTTAAATTCAGATCTGCAAAAGTAATAATTCAAATGAATATTTTAACTTTATTTTTAGTTTTTTCTTTAAAAATAAATTAAATTATCCATGTGATATAATGTATTAAAATCCTACAATAAAATGAGATAATTGAGAGAAATAATAGACATCTTCTTGAAGTATCTCGCTCAATTATGATGTCTTATCAAGTTTATAAATATTTTTGGTGGAAAGCAGTTTGTATTGCAACATACTTATCAATCTTATGCCTAGGTAGGTACTTAATCTCAAAATGCATCTTCATCTTTTGATGGTTACATATCCTCACATCAGAGCTTTCTATTCTGCTATCCCATTTAAAATCTTTGGGTGTCTATTCTTTGTTCACGACCATTCCCAAAATCACACAAAAATTAATCCTAAATCTATTAAGTGTATTTTTATTTGGGTGTGCCATTAACAAAATGGGGTATAAGTGTCACTCTCCTATTACCAAAAAATATTATAATTTCATGGATTTCACGTTCTTTTAAGATCAATCATTCTACCCCAAATCTGATTTTTAGTGTGCGAGAGCAAATGATCATCAATTTTGGGACGCACTTGATGACACCTATACCGTCTCACCCCCTACTTCACCTAGCCCTCATATCCCGGTTGAGGATGCCCAACTAACCCAACCAACCAAACTTGAAGTCCAGAACAAAGAATTTCGTGTATATTCAAAGAGATGGAAGAATCTTGAACAGGTGGAAGACAACTTGTATTGATTCAACACAACTCAAAACAAAACTCGAATCCACATTAACCTAAAACTGTGTGAGGAGTTTAGTAGTCATGAGGTATCCCCTTCCCCTTATGATGCTGGTAACAATGAAAGTTGTATTAGATTTGCAATTCGGGATTATGTAGCTTATGAGAAACTTTCTTCATCCTACAAAGCCTTCGTTTCTAACCTTGATGGTATGTAGATTCTTAAATTCATTCATGAAGAAGCTCTTGAAAATCTAGAATGGAAGAAAGTAGTTGAAGAGGAGATTCAAGCATTAAAACATAATGGTACATTGGTTCTTACTAATTATCTCGGGATAAGAAGTTGGTTGAGTGCAAATGGGCCTTCAACATCAAATATAAAATTGACAGGGGTATTGAGATTCAAAGCTAGACTTGTTGCGAAAGGTTTCACTCAAGCCCATTGGATCGATTATTAGGAGATCTTCACATCAGTTGCCAGAATTAACGCTATCAGAGTCTCGTCTTAGTAGCAGTTAATAAGGAATCAAGACTACATCAATTTGACATAAAAAATGCATTCCTGAATGGGATCTAGATAGAAGTGTATATGAAAATATAACCAAGATTTGAGAATAATTCTAACAAACACCCAGCCTATAAACTCAAGAAGTCTTTCTATAGGTTTAAGCAATCACCAGAAACGTGATTTGAAAGGTTTGCTAAAAGTATGAGATCTAGGGGCAGACCCAAGGTAGGGTCCACGAGGGCAATTCATAAAAGGTCCATCACAGGTTACTGCTCCTATGTATGTGAAAATCTAATGGCAAGGAGAAGTAAGAAACAAACGATTATTTTTAGAAGCAGTGCAGAATAAGAGTATAGAACACTCGCCTTGTGAATTTGTGAAGGGATCTGTATTCAAAGATTGTTAAGGAAACTGGAATGTACCTCTAGCAGGCTTATACAGATTTTCTGTGACAGTGAAGCGGCTAGTGGTATTGTCAAGAATCTTGTGTATCATGACAGGACCAAACATATTGAAATTGGTTGACACTTCATCTCTGAAAGATTAACTTGGGATTTATATAGCTAAGTTATATCTCGATACACCAACAAATTGCTGATATCTTTGCCAAAGCTGTTCTTTTAAGCACCTTCTCGGAGTTCAATGCCAAGCTTGGTCTTTACAACATCTACGGCCCAAATTGAGAGGGAGTGTGGAAATTTGATAAGATTTTGGAGGAAATTTGAGAAGATCCTGGAAGATTTGATTGAGACAACTTAGGAAACTCTTGATTAATTTTTTCCCTTTTAGTGCTATATTATTATTTTTTTATTTTAAAATTATTTCCTTTCCTAATGTAGGTTAGATATATTTGGTAAGTTTGTAATTAGGAAAATTTTTCCCTATATATATATATATATATACATATTTGTGTGCGCGCGCGCTATACATGTGAATAAAATGGATCAAGAGAACTATTCCTCTTCAAAACCTGTTTTCTACGCTACTACATATTTGCTTGGGTACTGTGTGGGAACGTGCTGGACATCAGTGTTTGGAAAAATATTTAGATATTTGGAAGGGATGGAGTATTGGCGCTTGTTTCATTGAACATAGTGTTCCTAGAAAAAGTTGTGACCAATTTTCAAAAATCTCCTCTTATTTATGACAAAAAAATAATGAGGTTGACTGCCTGTTCGCTTTTACGTTTCTCTTGTTAGCAAGTACATACGGGTTGAGGCGTTAGAATTATCTTACAACTTATACGTACGTGCTCTACCAAAAAACTGAATTTTTAAAATGTTTAACATAGCTTCTACTTATCATCTTCATTGGCCATATCCCAACAAAATGGTGGCGCTTTATACTAAAATTATTTTGCATACATATCTTTATCTGTCAGTAATTTGAAACTAAGAAATTTTCTTTTCTTGATATTATGAGCATTTTCAATAGAATGTTATTAAAGTATTTTTCATATTTCATTTCATGATATTTCTGTATTCTAATTGAAACATCAAGAAGCTCCAATAAGAAAACTAGGAGAAAAAACTGCTATATCATATTCTATTTGTCTTTCACACTTAAATGTTGTTAGAGTTGATAGCTAGAATGAAAGAACAATTGTTAATCAACCTGTTAGCACTTCTGTCTCCCATGTTTAAGCATTGAATTTTGGTGAATTTTGGTGTCATTTAGTTTAATTGCATTTCACCTCCAATTTGTTATTTTATACTGCATGCGACAAACTCGCTGATTCAGCAAGAGCGCGAGCACTATGAATATGTGCCAGCTGATGGAAAAATTGTGCACAAGCAAACAGCTGAACCACTTGATACAACGAAGGGGCCCGAGGGAGCAAAATGGATATTTGTAATGTCTACTTCAAGGAGATTGTATGCTGGAGTGGTACTATTAGATGCGAGACATTTTTCCAGTTGCTTGTTCTTTTGCTAGAAAATTTAAGAGATATCCAAACTCAGTAGCGTGGGCTAGCTAATTTTTTGCTCATTTTATCCAGAAACAGAGGGGGGTGTTTCAACATTCAAGTTTCCTCGCAGGAGGGAGTACTGTAATAGCTGGAAGATTCACGGCAAGGGGTGGATTTCTCCGAGTAAGATTTTTTCAAACACAAATGGTCTCTTGTATTCAATGATTCCTTTTATGGAATTCCTGCCAATTAGAACAGGAATTTATTTGGAAGTTGCATGCGGACTCAAAAATCTTGATGTTTTTCCCTGCCATGGTTTTTTTCTTAGAACATTGATGCCTGCAATGGGAAAATAAGCTTGTGGTCTTCTGAGAGAACTTTCATTGCTTAGTAGTGTTAAGGTGGCGTGTAAAGTAGGCACTCTATTAACTTAGAATCAAGAAAGTAATGTTGTGCCTTATATGGGATTATTAATAGTACGCCTATTCTAATAATTTTAGAGTTTTGGCTTAAGTTTATAATTTTAGAAGTTAATAGTATTTTATCTTCCCATTCATTCTAAGAGGTTTTTTTTTTTCATAATATAAATAACGATACTTAATTTATCTAAAATTAAAGAAAAAATTAAGTATAAAAAAGTATATTTAATTAAAATTAACTTCATTTGTTAAATAAAACGTAGAATAATAAAATATTTTTAAGCAATTAAAAATTATAATTATTGAAAATAGATCAATTGTCAAATCCATGTTCTATGTTAAATGTAAAACATTTAAACTAAACTAATGACGATAGCATAAGCCTTCTAACTATTAGGAGAGGAATATTCTTTTCAGTTTGAGTTTTTATATTAGCTGAGTGTGGATTGGTAAAAAAAGTGCATATTATATAGATTATATTAGGCAGATTATAAGGAGTGTGGATTGGTAAAAGAAGTGCATATTATATAGATTATATTAGGCAGATTATATAAATATGTTTCAAACTTATATCAAGTTGAGTCCTTCTTGAGTGTTTTTCATGACAAAAAATAAAAAATAAAAAATAAAAAATAAAAAAAAATCCTGCCAAACTCAACTTCAAATCAATACCAATTTGAGTTTTCATATAATTATTTGTTATATAGAATATTTAATACTTATATTCTCTTATACATTTTTTTCTTTAACTCAAGCTATTTTTGATCGAGCCAAAATCAACCTTGATTATGAGTTCAAGTGAGGGTTTTAACATAAGCTTGAATCTATTTTGAGTTGAGTAAAACTTAGAGCAAGTTTCGTTATATTTAATATTCATGGATGCAACTTTTGCATTTTCTTTTTGTTCTTCATGGATGAAACTTTTTCATTTTCTTTCTGTTCTTTTGACATTTAAACAAAAAGAAATATTTTTTAAAATAATTGAATCTTATACAGGCAATGAGTTTTCACAATGATTGTAATTTTTTAAGGTTTCTATAGATTTTTACAGCCTCATTTGGGTCAATAAAAATAGTTAAAACCTGAAATAGCTCCAAAATTGCTTGAAATTTGATTTGTCTTTAAAATTTATTCAAGTATTTTTTTGAGTTCGAGTCGATTTGGAGGTTTTATTAAACTTCAAATCAAATTGAGTCAACTTGTAATAAAAAAATGACAACAACGACGATGATGATGAAGATGATAATAATAAAAATAATAATAATCATGATGATGATATTAATGTTGATGATCATAATGATGATAATGTTAATGTTTATATGAATAGTAGTAAGAATAATAATTGAAGTGTCATCAACAAATTTTTATCAAGTACAAATCTCGATGCAATTTTAAGGGATTTTTTAAATTCTTACTCAAGATTATCTGGACCCCAATTTTAGTAAAGTTGGACTAATCGTCTCAGCAAGATGATCTCAATGATATTAAAATTGGTTCAATCCGAGTTCAATCAAGCCCCCAGATCAAGTCGTTGAAGCACAACTGAAGTTTTTGGATCATCAATTGAATAGTCAAATGAAATTTAAATTTAATATATTTATAATCAAATCGAGTATCTCGATGAGAGGAATTCAATAAGCCTAAGATCTCGCTCAATTCTGAGGTCAGTAAGGCACTAAAATCTTTAAAAAATCACATATGATTAAGGGGGAGCAATATGGAACCGATCAGTTGGTTAGAAAAGCTATGAACTAAAACACCAAAATGTCCCTTCGCAAGGAGATATAAATAGGTCAATCTCTTCACGATAAGAAAAGCTTGATCGGTATTGTAGTAAGGTTGCAAGGCCCTTCTTTGCTTCGATCCCATGAACAGGATCATGTCATGCAAAAGGGCTCCAGTGTCATTATTTTAGGTCCTTTCTAAAAAGGCTCGGAGTCACTAGCTTGTCTTATCATCATATGATTCCTTTTTCCAAATAAATCTTCCTCTCGGATCCTAGAAATGATCCGAAGAGGGGAGGAATCAGAAAGATAAGATATACGACAAACGTTAAACAAACAAATTTTGAAAAGAAATGAGAATGACTTGTGTAAAGTAATCCTCGTGTGACAGGTCAAGAATGTACGTCCAGAAGATATCAGATCGAAACTTTCTAAAATTCAATCTACAAAAAAAATCCCTACATATGCTACCTTTGTATCCAAAAAGTCAAATTTTTGTGCTTGTTGTGGGTTCAAGAGTACTCCCGAAGGAACTTATCCCTTTGGATAATTTCTTGGGAGATGAATAAGAATACTTTCAATAATAAGAGTCTTGCTTACATTATTTATGATGTCTATTTAATTGGGAAGCCAAAAGATTCTTATCATCTCAAGATGGGAATCCGGATGCTTTCAAGTCCTATACTGGGCTATAGGTCTGAGGGGAATCACTGTAACAACTACGGGTGGCGACGCCTATGCATGCAGGGCCCACAAGACGATATTAACGACTCTTCAAAGGAGTGATTGGGCTCGAAAAAGGTGTCAACATGAATGAGAGGAATCCCTAAGTAGATAGAGGTAGCCGGGTCAGGACACCATAGATATGTCATCAGAAGCTACGAAAAACTATTATGTCCGAATGGTTGCAATCCACCGGAGGTTGTTTTTCCTCCTCCGCTCCTTTCGGTGGATCGCAGTTGTTGGTCGAACACAGCTTGCATCCAGACGCTGGACGTAATATTTTTTTCCCAAGCTATGGAGACTCTAAGTCCACTTGATTGTGAAGGTAGTCAACCCAACCTTACCAAGCTCCCTTGTCAGCAACCCATGAGTTGCGTCGTCGAAGGAAACTCGGAAGACCTAAAGTCAGATGAAAGAAATCTCTAATTTCCTATGACCCTCTAAGAGGTGAAATAGGTGAAAGTGGGAGTTATACCCATCAATTAAATGATGAAGACGCCACTGGAATAGAGAAGAATAGAGAGGTCCGACTATAAAACCAAAAAGCTCACACAAAAGACTTGTGCTCCTGTCTGAGTTGGGGGAGCCTCTAACACTCTATTACATGTTATACATCCACTTAGCTAGAAATTTATGTTGGGCTTAGTCGATTGAAGGAGCACAAGGGCTTCTCCTCGGAACATGTAAAATGATCTAAATTACTAAGCGTGGAGACCCTATTAATTATGATTTGGGAGACGTTCATGCTATGCATACTCGTTTTAAATCTGGCCAAAGGTCATGCAGGAAAATAATTTTTCTTTTAAATTGGGATATTTTAATTCTAAATTTTGATTTATCTTGATTTTATTTATTATTAGAATTTTTGAAAGAGTGATTTTGGGTCCTTAATGATTCTAGATTGCACTTTTATAAATAAATCTAGACAACCCACAAAGGTAAGAAAGAGAAAATTCAGCACACAACATAATGTAAACAAGCTAAGAATCAAATAAATACATAAAAGTTCAGGTGTCACTGTGTTAGCAACATGTACTAGAAACAGGAAAATACGACCAGGCTCTGCATGTACATGCTTGATCTTAAAGCTATAAAACAATAGAAAATTTGGACTTAAGGAACAAGACCTGAGCAAGCTGCTCCTGGTCCTTATCACTTGGTTCGGTGCGTTAAGCGCCTAAGAACTCATGTTTGTACCTTATTTTAGATATAGACTCTCCAAGAACTTTAAACAAATACATGAGAAAGTCCAAAAAAGACTTGATTTGCAGTAGAGTTAGTACTAGCTATATTCATGTAACACAGAATGAGTCATGTCTGGTGGGAGAACTTAGCAGAACCTACAAAAATGTTATCCTTTAAATCATTATTTGCTCCCTTTTTATTTTTAGGCACGAATCCTTGCAAGAAAATCACCCCTAAATATACTAATGCATATTCTCATACCTAGTAAAGACACAAAGGTAGCACAAAAATGCATGACTAGGCAACAAAACAAGGAACAACTGTCAGACATGTAAAACATTAACTACACTTTTGCCCTTGTCTAGCAAATCATCTAAACATAAGGTGACCTAATCACAACATCTAAATATGTGTGAAGTGCAGGGTAAAGTCTAGATATATGACTTTTACGGGGTCGATAGCACTAGCCCCATCCTAAAGATCTAAGGGATCTAATGTATATCACCCAAAAGGAGTTTTAAAATAGTTGACCTCACATACAACCTAATTTTGCTAAATGCATAGTATTGAAAATATAATGGACTATAAAATGCGATTCTGTAAAATGCGATGTGACGTACGCTAGAACCCTTGGAATCTTAGCACAGTCATATATGTGTTGGTTATGATGCAATAACTCACATTGCTCACCAAGATCTACTCAACAAATAATGTTCGTTAAAGCATCATGATCAACAACGAGTTGATCATCTAACGAATCAAATTTGCTATCAAGACACATACATAATGTGCATGCGACATGCAACAAGATTCAACACATCGTGATCACTCAATCGAGGTGTGTAATCACGACAAACGCCTAAAGACGATTTAAATATTATGCAAAATACAAATGACAAACTTGTACCAAATGCAAAGTGACACAATCAAGTGCACACATACTGTGCACTTAACGAGTTCAGTGGCTTCAGAGCATGACCCGAATTCAACACACAATATGAAATTCTTACGACATTTAAATGAGATTTCAGAAAGAGTGAGGCAGCGCGGTCTCTGTTTAGAAGATTTACACACTAGCGGGTTTGTTTTACTAGTCACAACTCACCAAGGATATGTAACTATCGAGCCACGC